AAATAAAGTTTTATCGTCAAAATGTTTGTTCCTATTAAGATGAAAGACCAAAGTATTTTTTGATTATTTTTGTAAAAAAATTTTTAATCCTTTCTAACACGTTTGAAGTTTTGGTTAAAATCTTGTTTTGTTTATGTCATTGGGGTGGTGTAATAACATTGATTTCTTTGTGCTTTTTTTCTGTTGAAAACGCATTGATTTGGAAATTCTTATAAAAATCAAATAATTGTCCAATTTTAATGAAATTTTCAGAACTTATTAACAAATGAATGAATATATTTTTTTTTTTTTTTTTTTTTTTTTTAAATTTTGGTAAAAAAAAATTTTTTTATACATGTTACCCCCACTTACTTAATTTCATGAAATTTCACAAAATACCTTTTTTTTATTTGTTGAAATTAGGACACCTTGGAGAATGTAAATCACCTAATTTTATTTTATTTTTTTAATTTTTTTTTTCAAACTTTCACTATTCTAACTGAAAATCTGCTCTGAATTGAAAAATAATGCAATAAAATTATGACATTTAATTACAAAAGCTTTTAAAATGCTTTAGTAAATAAGTTATATTAAGGACACTATTGTCTGAAGAAATAAAATTTTTCTGATGAATAATTAATTTTTACAAGAATTTGTTTTTGTTTTTTTTGTTTTTTATTTTAATTTATAATAATTTAAAATTGTGTAAAATTCTGTATTAGGCTATTTCCTGGATGTAATATAGTAATTAAATGGAAATGAAATTTACAAATCCAAAATTGAAAAGATTAATAAACAGTTTTACTATTCTATTTTTAAAATAATTTTTAATTTTTTTACTTAATTTGTTCCCTTTTTCATCTATGAAAAGTTAAATGTGATATTATTATGCAAATGTCACATGATCTAAGAGTTTTGTCCCTTTACAGAGAAACTAATTTAAGAAAATTTTATAGTATTTTAAATTTTTTTTAATTTTTGCATAAAGCATCTTTGAAAGGTAAATAAATTATTAAGAAAGCATCTTTGAAAGTCAATAAATTATTAGATAATTGTGGAAAATATGTTCATTTGTAAAAATTACTAGGTAGTTAAAAAAAACCCAAAAATGTGTTCACTTAGATTTCATAAATTTATGTCAATGCTGGTCATTCATAAGACCTGTCGTGACCTCAAAATCTTACCGATACTTAAATAAAGATCATCATTAAGAAATGATTGTATATTACTTATTATGCTATAAGTAAGTAATATTTATTTCAAATCAGATTAATTTAACTTTAAATTTTGTAATTTTACTCAAATAATGTGTCAGAAAATATCTATCTATCTATCTATATATCTATCTATCTATCAAAAAATTTTTGAAGTGTTTTAAAATCAATGTTTGTTTTGTTTACAAATTTCTTACAATTAAGAAAATGGCCACTTTTAAGAAAATTTTAAGAAATCGAGCAAATATTTAACATTCCATTCAATATAATTTCTAGCTGAAATACACCAGAATATTTTACTTACTGGAAATAATAAATTTAACCCTTTTAGCTTTCAATTAAAGCTAAAATGAAATCTTTAAGAATGTTTTTTCATTTTTAAAAATTCATTCTAAACCTTAGGTATCGGAAATTTATGCCGAAAAAGTGGAGGTACCTAGGTTAAGAGCGTAGTGATCAGAGCAGCATACTCTTGGGAGTCTGTCCCACAAAGTAGAAGTTCTTTGGAAGAAGCTATTCAAATGGAACTTACCAATGAAATATGAAGGGAATGATGAGGATTCAACCTTGTGTACATGTCTTAGCTGTAAAGTTCTGAACTGGTGAAACTAAAGCATGTAGTTTGTCACAATATCTGCCATGGAAATGATGATAGAGTAGTGAGAAGCTTGCAATATTCTGTCTATGGAAAAAGGATTGTAGGATAGAAAATAATTCATTACCCACAAGGCCATGTAGCCACTTTTGAACTCTCTCAAGGTGAGAAAATGAGAATTTAGTTATGGCAGTAATACTCCATTTTTGGTTTGATCTAAATTATAAAGATAGACCATGGCAGAAGCCAGATACTTTCTGTTGTACTAGAAACTGGTCATTTTCCAGCCTCTCTAGCAATAGATTGTATGTATCACTTCCAATTGAGGTTTTGTCTGTTGACATAATTACATGAAATAACCATTTCAGGTTTTCCAATGCTATTTTCTAATTTTATTAGGATTTGAGATATTAATTTTTTTCAATAAAAAAAAAATGTTATTAATTTCCAGATTTTATTATTATTGTGGGAGGGTGGAGCCATTTATTTATTTATTTTTTTATAATGAAACTATTTCAGAAATGTATTAATGGAATGAAAATATTTTGACATTGTAAAATAACTTTATATAAAACCTATATAATGTTATAAAGAAAAGTGACCTATTCTTTGGAATCATGTAAACAATGCAATACAAAATTCTCCCATAGATAATAACTGTCTGTTTGCAATAAAGCAAGTATCAATTCTTGAAAATATTCAGGTGGAGAAAAATGAATTTCTAAAAAATGTCTATGTACAAAATGAACTCAAAAATAACTTGCTAGTTTCTTAAAGGAAGGCAAAGAAAAAATGAATAGGGTATATTTGTTCAAATAGGTAAATAATTATTTCTCACTTGACTTGCATGCATATAAACTGTGAATTATTAGAATATAATATTTGAAAATTGGAGCTGTTAAACAAAAATGGCCATTTTACAAATCAATAAAAGTATTTTGGTAATATTTACCATGCTGAATATGTTGCTAAGGAGAAGAATCACTCATGAATAATCTATAATCTGTAAATAGATGTTGGAACATTGCTATGACAAGACCGGTTTCAGGACTGCACCTTGCAGGTGCTGTATGTTAATCAAAGCTATTGACAAGTTTACAATAAATTTTCAATAGGATTGAATTTGCAATCATTTTTTTTTTTTAAATAGTAAAAGAACATGGGAGAGCATTGTGGATGGTTGTCTGCTAAATTTCCAATCAATATCTCATATTTACTTTATGAAATATTGATAAATAGAAATACCATTAGAAAGATAGAAATATATGCAAATTTAATGTTCTATTCTCAACATATCTATTTTAAATACATTTTGAAGAATTTTTTACAGAATTTTAAAAGATGTTCTATCTTTTGAAAAAGAAGAATCTATAAAATTTTTGACATATCTAGGTCAGCATTGTCAAATATGATCTGTTGCAATTTTAAGTTTTCATTCATTAGTTTAACATATGATAGTAGCTTGATCTTCCTTTTGCAAGTACCCAAATAATTCAGCACTAATTTTTTTGTCTTTTTTTTCTATTCACATTATATAAATGACTTATGCTTTCAGTCATGATTAAAAACTGAAAATAACCATATTTACAAATTGAATTGTAATCACTTTTGTAAAATGTAAGATTTTACAAAAAGAAATACAATTAATTATTGCCTTATTTATAACCTTGTCAAAGGCACATTTTGTACCATTAAAATTTAGATATATTTTCTTGATGTGTATGTAATTATGTCTATATGGAGTTATATATTAGTTTTTTTATGCTATTTATGTTATTGTTATTATAATAAACTGACTGATTCCTCCCTTTGTGTGAAGTGTACATTTTCATCTCAAAAGTAAATTTTAGTATCTTTTTTTTTTAAGGTGGAGTTGTTCTTGTTGCTCCCATAACTTTTTTTGGCATTGGTTTCTTATCTTTTAGTTGATATATCAAGAGTAACTTTAATATTTTTCAACAAAATCTTCAATGAATTCTATTTACAAATTATATATTTAAGAGTGTATGTGTGTCTATATGATGCAATTTATATACATAACCAATAGTTCAAATCTCCAATAAAAGGACCATTTGATGTTCTGTTAGCCATCCATGTGTTGAACAACACAAAAATATGTATTGATTGATGATATAAAGAAATGTATATAGTATTTTTAAAGTATATTTTTTCACATATAAATATGTGCTTTGTGTAGTATTTAAATGTATAGTTTTATCTTGAAAAAACTAGCAAAATTATTTAAAATAGTATAAATCTTATTCCAGTATTTCCATTTTCCTTAAGTTTTTATACAGGGAGATGCAAAAGTAGGTATACAGTAATGAAAAACAAAATGTGTGCACAAAATGTATTGTATTGATTATACAAACACATCAATCCTTCCAAAGTTCAAACTGTCCCTGTAATTCACACACTCCTCTATACCTGCAAAACATTTGTTGTTATTATTATTTATTAAAAAATAAAAATTATAATGTATTATAATAAAAAAAAAATACTAAAAATGAATTTAATGAATTCTAAAACCAATATTATAATACGGGTAATATACTTACTGTATACCTACTTTTGCAGCACCCTGTATAGCATGCTCAAATATCACTTTGCATAGGTATTATTACATAGCCATTTTATTATAAGGGAGATAACTATGGTTTGGTGATAGGGGAGAAAACCAGTGTGTCAAGAGGAAAAAAAATTAAAACAAAACTAATTACTGGCGATATTTTGAAGTACTGGATAACTTTATTTATACTATCTTTATCAGAAATCTTCCTTTCGGGTCCATCTAAAGTTGCATTATGTTATTCCCTACATGTTCCAACATTATCTTTCTTCATAGTGTCTTTGTCACATGTTTAAGTTGGAAGTTCTTAAATGTTGCATTTTTCTTTGTTTTTCAATTACACTAAACATTGTCATTTATATTGAATTATTTTAAAATGTCATTTCATCAAATGCTAGAGATTCTGGTTGTCAAATTTTAAATTAATATTTTTGTGCATTCATTTAGAAGCCATTATTATGCTATAGAAATTTAAATTATAACACATTCATTTTTTTTTTTTGTCTATTTTTACATTTCTTTCATTTTTTTCTCCTCAAAATTATAGAAAAGAGACACCATAATTTATTTTTTTCTAGCCTGCCTAAATTTAAAAATAAAACAATCTGGTACAGCTTAATAATTATTTTAAAATCTTTTTCAGGAAGCTTTTCGTGCTTTCCACAACGACCTTAACCACGTCCAAAAATATTTGAAGCCTTTACACATTGGCTCCCTGTGTGCTGATGAATTTCAAGTATCTCAAATCAAAGCTGATTTTGAAGAATTACGGAATATTGCAATAAAACTGGTTAGTTTCTTATTTGGTTTGTATGACTTCAATTACTATTGATGCACTATTTAACTACATTTCATTTTGTTCTCCAATAGAACTATGCTTTTTTGTGTGGATGTGCCGTTTAGTATTCCAGCATTGAATTAGAAATGTCTTTTGACAATAGATTTAAAAATGCTTTTATGTTATTTTATTTTATTTTTTTAGATATCAATAAATATGGAATATAATTTTTTTTAGATATTGCATGATTTGCATATAATCTAATAGCTATTTGCTGATTAAAATTCTTTGTCCTTCAACTGTAATTTTTATAAAGTTGTCTTCCTTTTTGATATGAAGAATGTTTTGCTTTCTATTTTATATTGTTTACAAATATTATTGTTAATAGGTTAACAAGATTGAAAATTTAGATAATGACATAACAGCCATTTTTGTTGTTACCAGGCAAACTCTTCTGGCAAAATAGGTAGTGTGCCATATTCCTGGGTGTCCACTGCTACTGTGAACAGACATGATTTGGCCTATGTCCATCTCATCCATGTGGACAGCACTGATCAGTGGCCCAACAACGATGCTTCCCAATGCTTTTATTGCATCAATCCCCAACAGCAGGTCAAACCCCAGTAGTTTGCCATGCACCACCAGAACACTGACCTTGGCAGAATTGCTTTCGTCTGAGGATATGGTGATGACTCTGACACCGCAACATGCACAGAACGTATCTGCAATCATCCTGATGTTCACCCTTGCGTTCTTACAGACTTGACACCAATCTGCATTTATTATTGACCAAATCAGCCTGTGTAAATTAGTGTTGAACACTATATCCCATCAACATAGATGCTCATCTCCGAGAGCACCACATTTGCATCTTGGTGGGGGAGAAGGCTGGTGCTGATGCCTCGTCCCCTGACACTGTTTCCCTAACAGTACTGGGCCCAGAGCCCAAATTCGTGGCATTGAAAACAATTTGTTCCACGCTGTTGGCAGTCTTTTGCTGTGTGACCTTTGCCGCTACACCTGTAGCAGGTTACACTGACGCTGGGGCTGCTCCTGGTATTAGCTATGATGAGCGTACAGCTGTGACCACATCTTAGCTTTGCTCCCTAGTCATTGTTAACACTCTTGCTCTTGCTATCAGGTGCCCAATAGGCAGGGTCTCAATGTTTGGTGCCTGTTGAAGTCTGATGGAGATGGCATCAGGGAACCCTATAATGAAAGTCAGTTTAGTGAGCTTTTCCAGCCCAATTCCCTCAAACCTAGCCAATCCAATCAATTGTTTGATCCTGTTTGCGTAAATGTCCACCTGTTTGCCAGCCTACCTGACTGCAGTCAGTTTACTGTAGGCTGTGAATGCATTGTTGAAGAAAACCTCTTTCAATCTGGCCTCTATTTGATTTATATCTCTTTTGTCATTTTCATCTATCTCCAGTGTGTACAATGGCAGCAGGCTTGCCACATCATCCACCAGCCTTACCTTTTTCAGCCACACTACCACGTCTCCTTTGCCAGAAAATGGCTTGATCATGTCTCTGCTTATGTGTACCTTCTCCATTGTGATGGTGTCAATATAGCTTGTAGCCAGAAACTATTTCTTCTATAGCACAGAAATTAAAACAACACTTGCAAGGGACTCTGATGTGTACTGAGTGCAAACACTTACTGCTGTCCTCCCAACAAACACTCACCTCTTTTATGCATTTTTCCCAAGCCAGAAAATTAGCATTTTGCGCATGTTGTCAGCCTCGGTCTGGCTCAGTGACGCATGCGCTGTGTTATTCCATCACTAATGCTTGTATGGTTAACCTCGCTCACAATTTGCTCTTATGTGCAAATTTAGGCTACACCACTCTGGCCCTCTGAGGTAATTCTCCAGCACACATATTGTCATTAATTAGAAAAAGGAATGATGACTGTAATATCGTGAAAACTTTCTTGGCAGAAAAATGTTTGTCTCAGTAACTTTATCATTTTAATGATTTTAAAAATAGTGTGAAAATTAAATGTAGAATAAATTACCTTTCTAAGCTAGGCAGATTGAAAGTAATGTCAAATTATTAGGGAAACTTGACCGTATCATAAAATTATAACTTTGTAGTGATAAACTTGTGATATTACAAAGTCTGCCTATTAATTTTGGAAGGTAAAATTTCATTTCAATTCCAATATCATTTTGGATAGTTTATCTTTGATTATAAAAGATGTTAAATAGATCATTGCATAAACAAGAGTTACATGGTTAAATTTTTATAATTCTTATTTATTCAGATTCATCCTCTTACCATATAGGGTACCAGACATAAATCATGTGATTGTCTGACATGTAATTTGGTATATCAAGAAAATTTTCTATGATCTTACTAAATTTCATGAAAGAGTAGATGAAAGAACAGCTAATATAAGCAAAGCAAATTTCACTTTTAGCATCTGTTCTGATGAACAAGTTGATGCTATTTTGTATTCACTGGAATAAGACGATCCTTTTTTAGATATTAACACAATCCTCTTCTATTTTATGTATTAATTGAAACTATGGAGATTACATGTGAAGAAAATTTACTAGACAAGCTACAACTGGTACAGAGACCAAGAAAAACAGCAGAAATTTAATTGCTGAAATTAACAAAATTTATGCACTTAGTGCCATGAGGGTTTGAATATCAATATTTGTGTACAATAACAAATATAACCTCTTTTGCTATATTGGTGTACTGAGAATCACTATTACTTTTTGGTCCTATCATATTTTATTTGGCACTTTCTCACTGACATTGGTTGTAGTTGGTTTTATAACCAATGATTCTCTAAATAAATTTTGACAATAAGATAGGCACACATTTCAATAAAAAGGTCATACATGTAATATTCTCTTCTGCTATATTTTCTAGGAACTAAATTTTAATGAACCTGTCAAAAATTTTATCTTTGTAAAATTTTGAAATATTTGAAAGTACTTTCATTATATTTAATACAATTTATATATCCTTTATAAAAATTCTTTAAGAATCTCCCAAATTGACTTAAGACTAAATTATCAATTATTTAATTATTTACATTTTACATTTAGTATATTAATTTCAAATTAAAGTGTACTGTAACTAAATAAAAACTTTTTCATTCTTTTATGCACAAGGTATGCTCCAAAAGTAATGCCTCCTATTTATTTCCATGGTAACAATAATGGAAGAAGTGCAATAAAACACATGGACAGAGAAAGTTTTCAGCTACAAAAAAAATGTCTTTCCACATAGTCACCATTATTAGATATGCTTTTTCAAGACACTCTTCATTTCAAGGTTGACAGCTATTGAAACTCACTACTCAACACATAGTCATGCTCATATTCACTGTTTGATCTCCATAAATTTCAGCAAGCATCAATGAATGTGAATAGATTAAATTTTTCCACAATTCAATGATAGACATTTTACCTTGTGCTCACTTTCATGTTAGACACCATTTTGCCAGACTTTTGCTCAGCTTCTAGTTGTAACAAGTAATCTCTATTAGCATACCACCTCCATCTGCCTCATAATGTCATGTACCAGTATAATAAAATAGAGAGCATTACTTCTGGAACAATTATCATATTTATTAACTTTTGAAACATCTTATGATATTTGTTGTTAGTATTGTTGTTTCTTTGTTTTTTTTTTTTTTTTTTTTTTTTTTTTTTTTTTTTTTTTTGTTTACTTTGTTTTGCCAAGAAATAGTTGAGAAAAAAAATCCTGTGGCCTTATAAATTTTAGTGCTGCTCACTTGATATATTATTATTTCTGTAAATAAAATATTTGTCTGTTTTCATTCCCTTTTACACTAAATTATGATCATCATATAAAAACAAAGAAATACATTCTCTCTAGAGTGTTTTTTTATTAATGCTTCCTGGTGGAACAGCCCCAGACTAGGTATTTCTTTTTGTGTTGCATCCTCTGAATTTTAAAAAATATTTTATAAAGCTTTTTGTATACTTACAAGTTTTACTGTTTATTGCTGTTAGGATTATTCTGTTCTCTCTCTCTCTCTCTCTCTCTCTCTCTCTCATGCTGCATCTTGATGGAAAATGTTTTCCTTGCCTTTGTCTCTTTTTTCTTTTTCAATATTTCTACAATTGATAAAGCTAACAATCATAGTAATTTTGAATTCTTCAGTGATTGCTCCCAGGCTTTGTGATTTATTTTTCTTGCTGTTCATATTGAGAAACTATTTTCAAGATTTTTTCATTGTCAAATTTATTCTTTTTCTTTGTTCTTTGGGTGCATTTCTATTTTTGCATTTTACTCTCATTTCTCCTTTTGCACGCAGAAGATGTTTCAATAAGCTAATTTCTCCTTTCCTGTGCTAATTTTTGGTTTCTCTAACTATATTGATTTTTAGCCTAATCTTTTTGTGTTTGTACCTCTACATATTTAATTGCCCTTGATCTTAGTTAAATCCTTTTTATTCATCACTTTCTTTTTGTTTTCTGTACGTCTCTTTTTTTTTTTTTTTTTTTTTTTCAATTTGTATCTGCTAATGCAGTCTTTAGTCACCTTAACTACTAAGTTTCTTGTGTTACAATAAGAAGTGAAGCTTTCATCTGGTTATTGATATGATACTTTTTCTCACCTTATCATTTGCTGTAGTTTTTATATAGAAAACAATAAATGAGCAAAGTTGTTTTGTAACTTTTTTTTCTATCTAAATTTTTTTGTTGTTCTTTCCATGAGTTATGAAGAGAAGGAAAGTTCTATTTGTTTTCAGATTTTATATGCAATCTTAATCTTAATTTGCCGTGATATTAAAAATGATATCTGTCTTATTTCTATTATTGTTTGGATAGGTTTGTTGATTATCTTCTAGTAATTGATAAACTGAATTTAACATATAATTACTACCTGTATACTTAAAATAAAAGACAAAAAACACTTAACACACTTCTGTGAAATCTTTTATAGAAACATATCTTTTCAAATGAACCAAATTTACAATTTCTACTGTATGGTGAGGTTAACTGAATATCCAAAGAATGG